TACAGGACATTTCATAATTTACCCAGATATTTTTTAATTAAATTGAATTTTCCCCGGGACGCTCAATGGTATCTGTGAAAACCCTGCCGGGACAAAAGGGTCAAAACAGGGACTGTCCCGGTCAAACCGGGACGGTTGGTCACTCTAGATACAGTATAAAGTAAATTAATAATTTAATTAAATTAATAATTTATTCAAAAATTGAATTTATAAGAAAATAATAATATTGTTGAGCTAATTAAGTAATACACTTACGTTTAATAAACCATTGAACTAAATATTATTTGTATTTAATGTTATGTTTAAATGTTTTAAAAATTATAACCACGGAATTCCAAGGTGCTAATTAGATGCAAACTCTATAAAAAAAATTGTGCACATTATTCATACACTATTCACATTTATTGTGAATAATATATCAAACAGTATTAAGATGTAGTATTCAGTGATTTTTAATTAATTATAGAAAACATATGTTTATTTGAGATCATTTGTATATAAATTTTATTAGAATTTAGTTATATTTTCCATTCATAGTGAATCAGTTCTAAAAAGGAAATATTTTACATTACAAATAGAATTTGAACATTTTAAACGTATAGAATTGTTCATTATGCAATTCTAAATCAATCTAGATAATAAAAATCTGCCAATGGGCATATAATATAATTTAAATTAATTAAATAAAATTACAGAATTGCATTAAAAGTTTTAAGTTTAGCGCTTATATAGAGCACACTATCCATTCATATGGTGAGTATTGACCTTACTCATTTACAAAATACATTCATTATATACTTATAATGTTCAATATATTATGTCAATTAATATAAATTCAAATTTAATGTAAAAATATATAAAAATTATATGATTAAAAAACTACCTAGGTCACGTTATTTATACAAATAAAACCTTATTTACATATTTTGAATATTTATAAAATTACAAAATTATAACATTTTATTAAAATGTCATTAATTAACGTAAAAATTATAATTAGTTTATTAACCAATGTGCTAAATGGGAATACAATTAAAACGAATGATAAATTATTTAATATTGTTGAGCAATCTCTGAAATTTATTGATGATTTGGTGGTTAATTATAATAACAATTTGGACGCTAATCAATATTATGATACCAATAGTGTTGAATATAGTGATGATAATACTTTCAATATTTTTAATGAAATAACATCAAATAACAAAAAAACATTAGATTATGATGATATAATCTATATTGCAAATTACATCAAAAACAATCCAACACATGGTTATTCTACAGTGAAATCAAACCGTAGAAAATGTGCCACTATTGATTTATTTTATAAAATTAAAAATTTTGTGAAAAACAATTTTATTGGATTTAATGGCTATAAAAATGAATATATAAAAAAACATTTATTTATTGAATTTATTGATTATCGTAATAATTTTAAACATATGAGTGATAATATATTAAAGTTAATCTCGATCAAAATCGCTCGTGAAATAAATTACATGTCATTCAAAGCGAGCGATACATTTATATATTTATTTAAGCGTAAATATAATATCGGTTCGCGTAGAGTGACCAAGTTTGTCACAAAAAAATCACTACTAAATCAAGAATTAATTGCAAATGATATTAAAACTTTTAGAAGTAATTTTCTAAATGACTATAACAATAAATATAATCATGGACTAGTATTTAATTCTGATCAAACTGGATTTCACAAAGAAATAGTCCCTAAAAGAACCTTGGACATCAAAGGACAACATGATACATATCTTTTAATACAAAATAAGATGGCTATGACTCACTCGTACACTATTATGCCAACCATAATCATGTGCGGGAAAATATATGGTAAAATTTTTATTGTTTTGCAAGAAGTTAACGGAATATTTGGAAAGAATATTCTTAAAAAAGTGCAACAATTGGAAGAAAAATATAAAAATGTAAAAGTTTTTTGCAGTAAAAGCGGAAAAATGGATAAGAAATTGTGTAACATATGGGCAAAGCAGTTAATTGACCCGGAATATTTTAATAAATACAGTCATTCTGGTGAAAAACCAAATGTATTGTTATGTATGGACTCATATTCACCACATTGGAATTCTGAATTTGACAATAGTTTTAATCAAGATTGTATTACTTTACAAAAATTACAAATTCCCAAAAATACAACACAATTTTTACAGCCATTAGACATAGATTTTAATCACGAATTAAAATTTTTTGCTAACAAAATAACTAATGAAATTATATTAAATGATTATAATATTAAAGTATATGATCGGGATAATATCATTAAAATGTGGTCAATTATTTGGGAACAATTATCTAGTGATAAATTTTGTGATATGATTAGACATAATTTTGAAAAAGCTATACGATTATCAAAATGTTAAGGATATTTGTTTTGAAACTAATTATAAATGTTGTGAATCAATTAATTGTAATAACATATATTTTATTAGATGTGCCTTATGTGATAAAATATTATGTTTTAAACACTTTTACGTTGATCACCACACTCATTTATAAATTGTATTAATGTAAAAAGATTTAAAATAAAAATATTATGATTTAATTTAATGAATTAAAATAATTTAAAAAATTTATTGAACATTATACTGTAAGTATATAATGATTGTATTTTGTAAATGAGTAAGGTCAATACTCACCATATGAATGGACAGTGTGCTTTATATAAGCGCTAAACTTAAAACTTTTAATGCAATTCCTTAATCTTGTTTAATTAATTTAAATTATATTAAATGCCCATTGGCAGAATTTTATTATCTAGATTGATTTAGAATTCCATAATGAACAATTCTCTACGTTTAAAATGTTCAAATTCTATTTGAAATGTAAAATATTTCCTTTTAAGTTATAACTGATAAGTTTGTAAAATTATATAAATATTACAAATAGATAGAAAATTGCTTTTATTGTAAGTATAGAACTTATTGTGTGAATGTATTTTCATTACAAGAATTGCTTTAAAATATTTTGTGTTTAAACTATTGATTTCAGTGAAATGACACATAATTTTCAATTTTCTATTAAATGTCTGACATTATTGGCAATTATCTCAACAACACATTTGTTAGTATTAATTAATTGAATTAATATGTAATTAATTTTAAAACTTATACAATAAATTATTGTTGAATATAAGGGCAAATGGAAGTAAACCTATGTATACAGTGTTCGCCCCGAAGGTGTTGCGGCCAAACACTGATTACCACATCAGTGTCTCACTGTATGACTTCCCGGCGCCCATCGAAGTATATGCCAGTGTTGTCGGTCCGGCACACAGTGTCAGCACCGGAGCCGTTACTGTAGGTACGGCTGAGACCAAAGTGTTAACCCTAGCGATCGGCAATTGGCCCGAAGGCCACTATAAGGTGCAGGTGATGGGGAAGGGCGCACAACAGCCTGGTGATATTCGACGGAATCCCTGGGATAGAGAGAGACCAACTGTTGCCATAACAACGGACGGATTTCTAAATGAATTACCGCTTAATTATGTGGCGAAAAGTGTGTCGGTATTCATACAGACAGACAAAAACACGTATAAACCCGGACAGAAAGTACAGTTCAGGGCCGTTGTGGTCAACCCATCACTAATTCCCAAAGACAACATTCCTATTGATATATATATTGAGGTATTGATAATTTAGAGTTTGAAAATAAATTTTCATTAATTAATAATTACTTAATTTCATAACAAAATGAATCGATAGGACGGTAACGGAAAGCGTGTCATTGAATGGACAAAATTGTACGCAACAAACGGTGTCATTGCTAATGAGCTGCAACTGTCGGCACAGCCAGTGTTGGGCCACTGGACTATAGGTGTGACGGCTTTGAGACACAACACCACAAAGAAATTCACTGTCGCCGACCATATGTTTCCCACGACTAACGTAGAGATAGTGTTGCCAACATATGTGACCGTAAATCAGTCACAAGTGGTGGCACTCGTAAAGGCATTTGATTCCAATGGGAAGGCTGTTGAGGGAGAGCTCAGTCTTTTTGTTCGGACCATAATTAATGCCGTCCCGAGTATAGATTAATTATAAATAATTCATAATTATATATTAATATTATTGTATACATACAGTATATATTATTACCTTAATGTCATTATTCTTTGTCTGACTTATAGGTAAATTTTTTGCAAAGGCTAAGATTTACGGAAGCGTTACAATACCCGTCGATTTTAAAGTCCACGATCATCGCTATCCTGACTCTAAAAATAGAATAGAATTTACGGCACGAGTGACAGAAACAGTGACCCGAAAGCAGTTCAACGGATTCAATACAGTGAAGGTATCCGAAACGGATGTTAGCATAGATATGGTTAAGCCGTCCGAGACATGCAAACCGGGGCTGAAAAACACGGTTCTCCTAAAAGTGGTCACACAAGACGGCAAACCAGTGCCCGATAGCGGACCGCAACTCAAACTCAAATACGGCTATTCATCGGATGAGAGTGAATGGAGAGACAGTCCGTTACTGTTGTCGCCAACCAATGGATTCATTAAGTTTGATGTTATTCCACCCAAAGACACTTTTATGATGGTAGTTAAACCCGAATATATGGGACTAACCCATGATTTAAAAATTACAATAGCTAGGACTCGGTGCAAGCACTATATGAAAGTTATCCGTACGGACACAACCACTATCACTGTCGGACAAGACGTAAAATTCATGGTGACTGCGACCGAACCTATCGTACGATTGGTGTGCGAAGTTTGGGGAAAGGGAGACATAGTGTGGGCTAAGAGTTTTGACATTCAGACCAATATTCATACCGGGTATGAGTTCAGTGTCGCGACTGTCAATCAAATGGCGCCGTCGGCTCGGGTTCTGTGCCATTACGTGCGGCCCGACGACCGGGAAGTGGTGGCCGACGTTCTCGACTTTGATGTGGAGCCAGTGTTTTGGATTCCCATTAGTCTCAAGGATGTGGTGAACGAACTGAAGACCTACGACACGACTGCCCGCGACCGCCCGTTTGATTTTCGTTCGTATTGGTCCGCAACCGGTGACACGTTTGACGATTTAGGTGTCGGAGTGATGCACAACGGGTTCATAGATAAGGCACCAGAAATTGTACCATATTAAACATTAAATTAATAATGTAATCAAAAATCCAATAATATTTTTGATGTCCATTTTGTAATAAACTTACGTTTAATAAACCGTTGAACTAAATATTATTTGTATTTAATATTATGTTTAAACGTTTAAGAATTAGAACCGAGATTAAAGCATATTAGTGTTGCATAATGACTACGGGTGCAGACATTGGCCGAGCAGTTGTCCGGACCAGACATTGGTTTCTATTGCTATAATCTGTTTCCTATGAATAACTACGAGTTTTATCAATATCTGTATGTTTTGGGTTTGAATTATTAATTATGAATTAAATATATACTTATCATGAGTTTAATATAAATAATGTTTGCCAATATATCAGTAATTATAACCTCTATCTACTATATGGTAACTTGCATGATATTATATAATTATTTACAAATCTAAAATTAAATAAATATATAATATCAAAAATATAAATCATTAATTAAAGATGATAAATAATTCAAAATTATATGCAATAGTTATTTACTGCATAGACAGCATAGAGATTATTTTAACCTTATGTCTATGTGGTGTGTATTTGGGTTTTGGGATTTTGTTGATAACTTAAAAGATAACTTTTTAGAGAAGTTGACAGCACAGAAGTTTGACTGTATAATCTATTCTATACTATGTTCAATATCTAAATGTTCAATAGAACTTAATATTTGCTAATTGTACATACATCTAGTTTAGTTGAATGTTAAGTAAATATTAACAAATAACCTATTTTAACGCTTGAATTATTTTAGCTCAAGTTTATATACGCATAAGACGCAAAATTAATTATGATTTTTATTTGGTTTAAACATCTATTTTAAAACATCTTTAAAAATTAATAAATAAATTCTTTTATGATTATAATAACATTATTATATGTTTTGTTGATAAAAATAAGATTATTTTATAATTAATATTTGCATTCACTTTAAATTTAACAAAAATATAATAATCTGATGCTACATTACTTTATTGTCATAACCACTATTTGGCTTTCGAGCCACTATTGTATTTATACTTTAGTAATAGCATTATGAAACATGATTAATATAAATTTAAGATTAATACCAAGTGCTAATTTACATGATTATCATCTGATAAACCGTAATATTAGTAATGGCATCGCACGGATTGAACGGTCGGGTCGACTATTTCTGGTATATATTGTCAGAGATAGTGATGAATACATGTCTGGCCCACACCGAAGCCCACGGCGACTCGTTTTGGTCACAATAGCTCGTGTTATGTGTCTATTAAATGGCATTAGATTTGGATTGGCGGCTATAATCCGAAAGGTGAGATTATATAAATTATATTCATTTAACTCTGATAAATCTTTAATGGTGGAAAATTCTTAATTTAATCTTAAGCAATGGATATACAATCTCTTATGCGATCCATCGTATACTTTGGCTAATCCACTGATGGGATCAAGTTTTATAGCAATCCTATCGTTTACCATATTATCGGTCGGTATTAATCTCCAAATAACGGATTTGAACCAAACTGTTTACACATATAAATTAATCTATGAATTAAAATACCAATTAATAAAATATCCGTTAACCCTTAACCCCAACACATATTTTACATACACCTCTACAACAGTCCCTAAAGTTTTTGTATGCAAGACAGTGAAATGTGGAGCACAGGGACTCATAGATGGCTCTCATTCAAAAGTCGAGTCAACACTTACTGACATAAGCGGGTGTGAGTATCATGTGACACTAAGTCAGTGGTAAACACAATAATCACGTCCGATATATTTATTATATTTTAATTTAAGTTTTGTTTATTAATTAAAGTCAAAAACCCCTGTTTTCATATTTAAATATGAATACAGGGGTTTGTGGTGTAATTGTATCTTTAATAAAAACATTATTTTAAATAACTAATTACAAGTCGTTGTAAGAAATAGTTTTATTCATTATAATCATCACTTTTACATTCACTACAATAGATAACTAAATGGTTTTGAGCTTTGCATACGAGTCTTTCACACCCCTCACACCTTAATGTTGCCCTTTGATTGAGACTTCGAGGGCAAAGGTCACAATAGGTATTATTACGAAATCGTTTCGTATTTGGTTCGCCTGACGTTGAGGGTTGGTTTTCAAATACATTAGGGCTTTCTGTGTTAAAAACCTTTTCAATTAATTTTCTCAAATCGGTCTGAAGTGTAGTTTTGTGTAGTCTTTGAATTGCAAAACTCTTCACCAAATCGTAACCCATACTTTTGATAAACTCTCGACGTTTTTTCGATTTAATATCATTCGGATAATAGTGCTTATAAATAACATAACTATTAATACATGAAATGTCTAACATGTCAAAAAATAAACACATTGGCCAACGACGGGTCGCTCGGCCGCATGTAAACAAAACACTGAGATGATCTAAATTATCGACACCACTTTTTGTATTGTTGTAAAAGAGTTACTAGAGTCCAAACGGTAACAGTAGCGCTTACAGTTGACATAACACGTTACTTGAGTTGTGATTATGGTGAAAGAAATGAAAGGAAAAGAAACCTTATATTCTGTTATTATTAAACAAAAGACCCAGTTGAAATAAAAAGGAGTTCATCTAAAAATAGTTAACAAATAATCAAATTAATTTTAGGTTTTAATTAAGACCCCATATTTGTTATTTAAATAAAAAATATGGAGTTAATAGTAAATACTTCTTTGTTTTTGAGATTCAAATAATATTTAGGAATTTATTTTTTATTTGCTTTAATTGTTCCCACATATGTTAAGCCGTGAGTCAACAATTTATCGATTAATGGGAAAGATGTGAACCAATTATCGGCAGTAATATTACGACCAGTGTGGTTTAAATCACTGATCAATCGAAGCACAATATCTGACGATATGTTCATATTTTTAGTCGCATTTGGTTGTTTTCCTAAATAGACCTCTGATGTCCACATATAACTCGAAATGGCATCACATAACATGAATATCTTAATACCATACTTTGCCGGTTTCATAGGCATATACTGGCGAAATGGACATTTCCCACGAAATGCTCGCAATTGTTCATCGATTGTCATGTATTCAGAGAGAATATAATTTGTTTTACAATTGTAGTTAAATTTTGTGTACAATTGTCTAATTGGCGATAATTTATCGTTTTGATCACTGGTTTCACGATTGTCAAAACGCAAACATAGTAACAAAAACTCAAATCTAGGCAAAGGCATAACAGCTCTAAATATATCTCTTCCAAAGCCAGTTGTTGACCACAATTCTTTGACATTCTCATTGCCCGACTTGTAAACACCGGCCAGTAATAAGAGACCAATTAGGGCTTGAATTTCTTCAGCATTTGTATCATAAATTAATGATTGCCATTTATTATATTTACTACTTCTTATCATTATTTCTCGGTTTGTATGCGTAACGATTGATTGAGTCATTTCAGTAGTGATAAATCGGTTAAATAGTGTGTAATTATTGTCTGCCATTG